CTGTGGTTAAGGAGAGTGAAGTGCAACTTATTTCTACTATTCAAAGTCATTAGGAAACATTGTCATAGTAACTCATCCATAACGTGGGAAAATATTAAATCATATCAGCTGCGAAACCACGACTACCTTGTCAAGGTGGCCACCTACAGAAAATCCATTAGGGCAAACCTTTTCACCATTAAATATTGCACTCTTTGGAACCAACTACCATCTGAAATTAGATGTTGTGAAAACCCCAATGGGTTCAAACGGAGCCTAGAGAGACACATTAACATGTCCACCCTAGCTTGTCTAAAAGACCACAAATGTTGGTAAAATGGTAAGTAAAAGCCGGTCCAGTCTTCAGCTCAGTCAGTTACATATAACTCGACTCTGCTACTTACGCAGAGAACGTTTAACTAATTTACTGATTTTCCTTTCTGTATAGACTTCAATAAGTTATGTTAATATAAGTACTTCTAGAAACAACTATATTAGCAACCACACCTTTTAATATTTTACATATGTATATATAGTTAATAATACAATGCTATTTTTTTGTGTCTGAATGACTTTACTCAGCCAATAACCACCTTTTCTCATACACCTTACTAAAACGTATAATCTCTATAATATTTTGCAGTATTTTTAACATTACATAAGTTGAAGGGTTACTTTGTAATATCTAATGCGCACCGTATGAAAATCGGTCATGAAAATTTAGCATAACTAGCTCTGTTAACCGGCTGTTTTCTTCAGGATCATTATACATAATTTTATCACTAATTGTTCCACTACACTTTCTACTCTGCTAAATAGAATATAACTTAGTTGCTCTAATATTAGCTACTTTTATACTTCATAACTCTTAAGGGAAACCTAATTTCTTAGTCTTTTGTAGTAATCCACTTGTTCACTAGTATGATGATAATACCGCTAACAATGTCCTCTGGTATTATTGTGCCATGTGACCTAATGGGAAGCACTTGTCATGAAAGCTGTTAATATGCAGCATACTGTATGATTGGGACGGAGTCAAAGCAATCCAATATTACAACTGCAGTCATTGTAAAAGGTCTCAGAGCTTAATGTCAAAAAAGGAGGGAGGGTGGCGCATGCTGATCAGCAGATTTGGTAGTGGTCACAAATGTGAATCGCTCCGATCTGTAGGACAGCAACATGCATTATTTTGGCAGCTCGAGAATTAAACATGAGTTTAGATACTGAGAGTATAAAAAAAATTGACTTTATAAAAAAAATTTTAAAAAAAACAAACTAAAACAATAATGACTGTAGAGTTTTAGCTTGTAAAAAAAAAATAATGCTTTCGCTCCTAACATCTACAGGCCTGCTCAGTTTCTTGTCAAGATGCTATCCCATGGGCAATACACAAGGTCGCCAGACATCCTACAGGTCTCCACATTCAACAGGTTCTAATCCTTCCAGCCACTTCTCTCTAAAATGTCACTCATATACTTCACGATAATCCTTCTACCTAATTACTATTATACTCTATTTTATCTCAACTTCCTAGGCCTTTAGTAAAGCTGAAATTTACTCTTTTGTTTTTCTTTTTTCTCATTCACACTCTTCTCTCGCATAAAGTTCGGTTGCTCTAATGATAAAAAAAACATAACAACAGCACTCATGTTTGAGAATAACTCTATTTTCATAGAAAACGTCATAGTTTTCTACGGTAAGACCAATATGGTTAGCATCATACATTGCAAATGTACACTATCACATCAAGTACTGTATAGCTTATTCTTGTATTTTTCTTGTAAATATACTTCCAATAATGTATTATTCATGATTGCATTTTATACCATTTTGTAGCTGTGCAGGATTTTCTCCTCTTCCTGAAATAGCGTTCAAGCACGTGGTTGTCGCTCAACTTCGATGGAAACCTTCGTGGAAGATTTACAAATTAACAATTATAAGAATCTGTTCCGATAGCTTGTACTATATAATTCAACAATTTGAACCTTTAAAAAAAAGTGATAATCTTACTATCCCTTGTAAACGTTGTACTTACCTCAATATTGGTTGGCTATCGTATGCCTACAACTACGGGTTGAAAACGAAACGAAGTCGATTTTCCTGCGCAACCTGGAGGACTACTGTTTAATTCAACAATGATACCACATGGGTCAGACAATGAGTGTATTTATGTATATACCAAATATTTAGCTGTTCAAACATTATTAACTTGTAGACAATCTACTATTTGTCATTATATCATATCATGCATTTTCATGTAAATTTATGTTTATATGAAAATATAAATTATTATTATTATTATTTTTATTATTATTATTAATACCAACAAGAGACCATCATCAAAGACCACAAGAAAATTCATTCTAACATATGTGTTAAGAATATCTCCGAAGCAACGGCCACAATGTTAAGACCGTTTGAAATAAACATAGCACAAAAGCCTGCACAATCACTTCATTTGGTATTATGAAGACTGAAAGGTCCAACAGAAAAAGAACATAAAATTAATACCATTTACAAAATAAACCGCATGCATGAACTGCAATGAATATCACAACGACCAAGGTGGGTATCCCCTTGCAATCAGCAGAATCCAAAAGCACAATCCAGCAGTGAAAAGGCACGACATCTATTGCCTCATCATATCAACACATGTAGAGATAACTACGGACATCAATCAATTTGATTGGAACAACATAGAAAATTCGAACAGAGGAGGAATCAGCTAAAGTATTACCAGAGAATTTCTAGAAGCCAGGTATTAGAAAACGAATCAGCGATTAACGAATATACCCAGTATGGATAAAGTTTTCCAACTCATGAAAAATACATCACATGACAAGAAAGTTCAAATTCCAAGTCAGGAAAAATATGACCAGTGTAAATTGACAACCAATCACGATAACGAAGGTTGTCATGAGATACAATTAGATCACACAATTTATGGCGAATTCATTGTCGACTTGGACAATGAAAGTTACGCAATTAAATCAGACAGCTCAGAGAACACAACTAATTGTAAACCACCCACCCACGTCAGCTACAAATCTTCTCTATTATTTCTAATTAGAATATATAATTACGTAATAGGCGAGAATGAATTGTCTCCAGGGTGAACTAAGATTAATCGCTGCGTTGTTTTCCTCATATACACGTTTGCTACTTTTACTTCCTCGATGGCGATAGATTCAGCGAAATCGAAATGAAGTTGACTTTCTATGTTTGCTAAACCAATAGTGCAAGAATTTTGAATATCTCTTTTGTGTTGTGATTCGCATAATTGAGTATCACACTTTCTGAAATGTGTTCAGAGAGGCCAATGGATGCTGACCTGCTTTCAACTTCCAACACATTCATGCTCTGGCACATACACGTCAATCACTAAACACAATTCGGAGGTGACTTCAGATGGATATCTCTGACCACTTCCAATATCAAATATAAAGTGCACGACTAGTGCTGTAAACAGGATGTTGTAGAAAGGCTAACTGCTGTTAGTCTCTTGTTTATACTCTGCGATACATCAACTCCTTTAAAAGTGACTTGAATGACTATAGACCTCTTCTCGATTGTAGTAACACTACTTACCGGAATTCCTCCTCAAACGTGTCATCAATTTGTTTGGAAACCCGTTTCCAGACAATTACTTTTCAAGGACATCCATCTCTTCATGCAATCTATTCTCAAGGCGAAGTTTACGTGCTCCATCAAACAGCCTCCAGACTAATGCTTCCTTGTCCCTTATTGAACAGAAGCTGGAGTTGTTTAAATACTGTCCGGTCCAGGTATCCTTGCAGTATTTCCCCTATCAACTGTACCACCACCTCACAAATAAATCCAGGATGTGAAACTGATTTTCGCGATCCAAAAAATTGAAGCTATGAAACCATTTGCAAGCATGGTTCATGTTCCTATAAATCACGAATATGTCATCCACATACTTTGCATAAAGGCTGGTTTGTTCAATTGCAAATCTGTTTTTCTCGTTTGTTTCTAGATTTCTCATGAGAATATCAACAAGAATACGTGCCGAACAACTTCCCACTTCTACTCTAAGGCATCAATCTGTCTATAAACTTCGTTAGTGGGTAACCAAATTAGATTATCCACTCTCCCTCTATTGAACAATTTGGAGCATTCACACTTTCATAGGATCCCACTCACTCAGATCTCTAACACTTCCATACTATATATACTCGTTTCTACTGCAACTTGAGAAGCCAGTCTCGCAGATGCTGAGTATATTCCATATCCGCATATTAAAAATTAGCTCTGAAGAAAGATTTCCTGTTCAAAATGATGGACAAATTCAGATCCGCTACGCCTTATAGTTTGACAAGTGATGAAGAGGTGGCTAACGACTACCATGTACAGTAGCCCATCCTCCCAACGGTAAGGGATGACTAGTAAACTATGAGAACTTACCATTTCTCGAGTAGAAATCCCCAAGTGACAACTAAGCCTACTCAATCCATCATTCCTGATCCCACAGGATGAATTTCATGCTTTTCTCATGAGAAATCATCACAAGTGTAATGCGGCGCTAATTGGCTGTGACGACAGATACTCGCCGATCATAGCATCGATTTAGCACAAACACATATCGCAAATAGACACAGGTTAGAATTTACGGCGAATCGGATTGAAACACGATGGCTCAATATTTAACAAGTGCCTACTTGAAATGACTTGACAGTTTTCGCTTGGACCCCTACAGTAGAGTCATTAACTATGACAGGACATGTATCCAGATCCAAAGTGGTTTTCAGTGGGCCTCTGACTAACTCACTGGTGTCTCAGTTGGTAACCATATCCACCCTAAAATTAATCAACATCTTCAGATAGCTGAAGGAAAACACCAACGAAATACACGACGAAAATAGTGTTTCAAAACTAACCTCATCCTGAACAGATGCACATCAGGTAGGATACCCACCCACCCCCTCACGTTGGAGAGAAAAGCAAAACAAATCACAAGAACATTGGAGACACAGTTGTTTTTAATCACAATAGAAAACATTCCACGATACAACACTGGTAGTAATTATCTACAAAAAAAGTCTGTTCACCGACAGACAGACTCAGACTGTTGGTAGCCATACAGCATTTAAAGTCACTATGTACAAATAAGGTCATCGCACAATCACAAAAATGCATCCAATTTGATATAAAAGTAGTGAAGCATTCACAAAACTGCAACCTAACATAATATATAACAAGGAAAATACCGTATCCACAAAAATATCACAATTGGGAATTAGGCAAAGATCAAGTAGCACAGAGGGACAGGCGGGGAGGGCGGGAGTGGGGGAGAATTGATTGACTAGTTTCAACCTAGAACTTTGCACAGATGTGCAGCAGTTCCACTCTCCACATCCACACAAGAAGAGAGAAAAAGAGAAGTAACAAACAGAAATGTAGAGCAAAAAGAACAGTAGTAAAAATGGAAGGACAATCGAAGTTGACTGGATATTATATATCACAAAGAGTGAATGTGGGCGAGGATTATGTGCACTGGAACAAGAAGAGAAGTGAAACAAAGTGGGGATCGGAGATAAAACAGAATCACCACTACCACCAGCAGCAGCAGCAGCAACAACAACAACAGTGATGATGAAATTACAAAAATCAACTAGAAAACAGTCATCATCTGACATTATTATCATTATCATCATCATCATTGTTATTGTTCCGATGCTTCCTATTCGATGGACAGGGTGCTGCCGTTAACATAGGCCGATTAGTCGTCATCGTTCTCAATTGTTGCAATTGTTGATAACTTCGGTCAATTGGAATGTTTTGTAAATCTGCCACTAGCCTGATATCTTTAGGCATCACTGTAACACGTTTAGCGTGAACTGCACATCGCTGAGCCGACTCAAATAAGCTCACGAGGAATGCTTCAGCGGCTTCTTGTAAGGCCAGAAAGCATATCGCTTGCCAACGAAACGTTAAGTATCTCGGACCAAGTGACGTTGCCATAATATGACGGATATATAGAGAGAATGGCAGCTTCCTATCACCAATCGACAATCAACAAACAAAGAAAAAAACGAACATATAAACAGGTAAACTGCAAAGTAAACAATGAATTCATTCATTCGTTAGGTGGTTTATATTTACAAATATACACATAATAAGGTGGATTTAGTCGACAGTCGTGTTTTCTCCTAGTCTGTCATTCCTCAGAGTAATGCACGCGTGACACAACGAGACACACAGAGAACTCACAACGACCTTCATGTTATCAGGTAAGCTCGTTGACCATTCAGTCACCGGGATGGTGGTTCAATAGTAGATCTCTCGCCAACTACACACGTTGTCTAGGCCCGATTGTAGGTCGACGCACTGAGAAAATTCGCTCAATTTACTAGCTGATAGTAGGTCCGCAAAAGATGGAAGCTTGGACGGAGTTACTGAACAACCCCACCTCCACTTAAAGCAAACAGACAACACTACTAATGAAACTCCACAGTCTGGAGCAGGACTTCATTCCACTCGGAATGCAAGGAGTGAAACGTTCATATAATTTACAGGTGTTTGACACATTCCATCAAGACAGACCTCCTCCTCCTCCTCCTCAAGGAATGAAATCAATTAGTAGGTCACAGTTAGTCAAAACAATCACCCATGGGAATCAAGAAGTTCATTGGATAACTAACAGTCTCATTCTAGCATGCAAATCCGCTAACTTTAGGGAACATAAGATCTAGAGATCTTCAGGCAAGCAAGTTACACCTGCTGTATCGGAAAACCTTCAGTCGTGAATACATCAGTGTTAACTTCCTCTAATGCTTCTCCCCTCTGTCCACCACCACCTTTCAATGTGTGTGCTTCCAAGAAGTGTTGCACAACTTCAAAATGTCGACACTTTGTGCAAAGTTCTCACTTCACTTCATTGGTACTTAGTGAATTACACGACTAGTAAGAAGTAGCACGACAAACACCCAGGTGTTTTTACTAACTCACTTACAGAGAAATTCACCTATAGGAGAAGTAAACTGAATCACTAACTGACATGTGTAAAACAGGTGTCCCATTCATCTATCTCATTCGGTGAGGTTTCATCACCTCATCGATTGGCTGACTTCGTCTTCTGATTTAATACTTTACGTCTAACCTGAGTATGACGAACCACAGAATGACACAGCAGGGGAGATAGAAGGGAAACACCTACAGCCAACCACAACTCGCCTTTTCAGGTCTCCGTCGTCAAACGGCTACCTACCACAGCCACAAACGAGGTACACAGTAAACTGATGTGTGCCGATAGCAGATGTCACATCTACACCACTATCCTGGTGACTGAGTCCTCACTGACAAATCGAACTAACCAAACTGTCCAAGAAAACTCTGTGATACAAAAGTGAAAAGTAACTAAAACCATTTCTGTAACAGACAAAAAATAGCAAGTACAAATAAGCAACCAACATAAAGAAGAAAACAACTTTGGGTCATTTTACCTTATAAGGAGATTTGTACTCCGCTGGTATGCTGCTATCTCTCGCAAAGCTCTCGTACCCGGTGCAGCACGTTTCGTTGGCCGTTCCGTTTTATCGTTATCATTATCATTATCAGTATTATGTTCTCGTGCAGTATCCACCCCTCGACTGGCCCGTTTCTGTTCTGTTCGCACTAACTGCTGTTTTAGTTGTCGGCCTGAATCACGTGTTTCCGATGGCGGTCCTGGTGGTAATGCATGTGCTGATGGCTCACCTCCATCATCTTGTCTTCGTGGAATAGGACGATCACTCGGTTGTGGAGTATCCTTATAGTTAACATACATCCAATCCGTGCCTTGACGCCCTTCATTAGTGAGAAGAGAAAGCAAATGTAATACTGACTAAATTGACGAATTATAATTCGGAACACTTTCTATCCAGAATTTTGTCACCACAAAACACGTTAACAGCAATCAGAGAGAAGAGTAATCTTCATCAACTGGGAAACCTCTAGGTAGCAGTGGGAACATCTACAGAGATATTTACACTTCAGTTAGCTAAGGTAGCTAACACTACCACCTCATGGTCCCAAAACAGCCCAGTGGTAGGTGATGTCACTGACTGCAGCACCAAAGCTTTGAATCACCACAGGAATACAATTTTGTCCAAGGCTGCTGCTTCTCAGCAATTGATTACCTCTAATCGACTAACAACATTTCCGGGAACTGTTAGAATTCATCAACAATCTATGGTCTACGTGGAAGCATATCACACATGCTAACAGAAAGTAAATTACTCAGTCACAACCTGGATGTTGGGAATTTTCTGACCAGTTAGGAAGATCAAGCTATCGAGACAATCTCCACGACACAGTCGACTTTATCCATTTATTCTGCTAGGTAAAAGAATATTCTCTCCTTAAATGTCGTTTGTCTCCTCACTAATAAAAGCCATCATTGTTTTCCCTGTGATTCCCCATTAACCACCCCATAATATCAATATCAATGTTTGTATACCGATACTCATGCTTTGGTTTAACTCCAATGTAGCAGTGCATTCTACTCTATGACCTCTCTCTCTCACACACTCGCTCTTGGCCGAGTGTCTCATGGGAAACATAGAAAAGACCACATTATGCACAATAATCAATGAGCTCCATCTCTACAACAGAACACACTCACGATACTTTCATTCTTTCTGATGTCAACTAGAAACTCTGATATCTGCTCTAAACACCTATAACAATCAATCCCCACCCACCTAAACACCAACATCACTCTTAAGAGATGAAGAATAATGTTGCTTTTCGCCATTGTTTAATTCCTGACGAAATCCAGATACATGAAGGCCGCATGGGACAGACAGTTTATCAACTTCCAAAGCTCTCCATCTCTAAGCAGGCAAAGAAATATTATCCATTCATCTTCCTCTAGATTCCGAAAAATACACTCACTGAGACCTGTTGGTGTGCAACTGTTAAATTGCCGAATAGTGCTGACTGGAAGTGACTTCTAGTACAGATTCATTAACAAGGACCTGAAACCAAATGATGCACAGCAACAGATCCAGATAACCTCCTAAAACATTTCACTGCTAAATCACCAATTCAAAAGTCATGCGAAGACAGAAATTCTTCAGAACCGGTATCCAAAACTTCCTGGTATAACAAATTCTACAGGGAGACTAAGAACACCAGTTTTTTATTGCAAAATCTGTTCGTAAAAGGCAAGCTTTTACATCAACCTCTATTTACTAGCCCACTTGCTTCTAACGAGATAAGTAAACCGACCGTGTACGTGAACAGCACTAAGTTGGGCTAGCAAAACCAGAACGTGTGTCTTTACTTCGATAACAGAACATCTTGCGAAATCGGGACACTCACCTCCGCAAGAGAAATCACTGAAAAGCTTACACAAGAACCAACAAAATTTCTCAAATGTCATGACATCAAAATATCTAGGTATTAAGCATTTGTGACCTACTGATCAAAACCAACGCCATTTATCCGGAAGGAGTTCAAGTTCATGTTCTTCATGTGGGTCTGACTGAATGATCTTAGAAGACGAGGGAAGTAAAGAAACAGTAGTGTTCAAATGATAACCGTTGGAAAGAGGACTATGTTATCCCTAGAATGATACCCTCCCACTTTAATTTCACTGTACCAGCAGCAGCATCTGTACATCATTCAAAAGATCAATGAAGTAAGAGATGACAGAAGTTCACAATAAAACAAAACATTCATCTACACCTAACATCATGAAACTGAATTCACTGTGAATCAATAGTTGACTTCATCAGATTTGTTCACCTTGTTTGGTATTTCTCGTTAACTAATTTGCATACATGTCATCAAAATGCTCGATTTCTATTCGTACACCGGCTTCTTTGACGGAAGCTTCGACGATGGCTGTTTGAAGGCTAACACGACGTCCGTATGGTTTATGTGATGGTGACTAACGGTGGAATCCAACATGTGCATTTAAACCTATTTGAAACTATTCGTCGTCAGTTGGGTGTACCTGTCTCCTCAGTGAGTGATCCTTTGCCCTCCCTCCTACTTCCCCTAAGACTCGAACTTAGTACTTATTGTTTCAACAACCAAAGTGTTATCCACAAGGTCATCAGAGTCACCTCTTGTGAAACGAATATCACTCGTCACTTGTTGTTTAACCACCAACCAAATCATACCACATAAGTCTTCAGATGTGGCTTTTCAAAGGATCAGTGCTGGGTTCGTCTCACTGGAATCATCACCAACACCACCAAGCACTCGAGGGAAGGGACATATCTACAGTTGTTGGGTCCTAAACAGGACAAAATGTGCATCCACTCAACTGGATTTCGTTGTCAGCAAACCAACCAACTAAATGCCATGATTTTATCACATATGAAAAGATATCTTCAGAACATGTCAGAAACAATGAGATACAAACTCCGTATTATTACTCGCATAACCAAAGATGATAGTAAAAATGAGTGTAAACACTAACAACACTAATCATAATCTCTAGACGTACCTGTTGCTGCTTTCTTCGGCTGAGACAGTCTCTTAAGCACAGAACGACGGGATGAACTGACATTCGAATCAAGATCAACAGGCAACGATCGATTTGAGAGACTGGGAGGGTAATCAAAACACAACATTCACTAGGATCATTGCGTAAATCAGAGAAGCGAATACTACAATTCACTGATAAATCGTAACACTGGTCAGCTTATACAAAAATAAGTTTCCGTTAAAGTACAAAGCCTATACACACATTGTGGCTGCACTGACTTATTAACAGCACATACAAGTAATGTGATACCTCATCTAGTCTACAGTAAGCCAGAAAGGGTTTCACCCGGAACGAACAACTGGCAAGCCAGTTATACCACACTACACTTCCATTACATCAAGACAGAAATCGCGTAATAATCTTTAAGCAATTGTCCCTTGAGATGTCGAATCACTCAAAACTAATCCCTCGACCCTGATCAAAAGAT